CTCCAGCAGGAATTTATTGTTTCAGGCTTGATGGCTTTCAAGGCTTTTTCTATAATAACGATGGCATTTCCAATGGTGGAATCCTTTCAAGCTTTCATGATTTCTCTCCATTGAGGGTTCTCTCCCATAGTTTTGGTAACACTTTCCATAGAGTACTCTGTGCAATGAACCTTAAAAGTCTTTATGACCCCCTGATCTAGAGGCTGACATTGTGTTTGGGGCCACTTTGACACCTTCAGTATTGAATTAATGGGGTTCTAGATAGCCAGCCAGAGGCATTGTCAAGAATGAAAACAACTTTAAAAGGTAGTCCCTTACTGGCAAGATACTTCCTGATTTCAGGGACACAGCATCAACAAAACCCATCTGGAAAAAAGTTCCTGTTGTCCAGACCTTTTTTTTTCGAGACAGAGTTTCACTCTGTTGCCAGGCCAGAGTGCAGTGGTGCAATCTTGGCTTACTGCAACCTCCGATTCCTGGGTTCAAGTAATTCTCCTGCCTCAGCCTCCCAAGTAGTTGGGACTACAGGTGCATGCCACCACGCCCAGCTAATTTTTAGTAGAGACAGGATTTCACCACGTTGGCTAGGATGGTCTCATCTCTTGACCTCATGATCTGTCTGCCTTGGTCTCCCAAAGTGCTGGAATTACAGGCTTGAGCCACCACGCTCGACCATATTGAGACCTTCTTGTTGTACTGGCAGCTGGCGTTTATCTTTTCTCTCAAGGTGCATTAGCAGCTTTATAGATAAGGACTGTCTTGATCATAAACCCAAGTGCATATGCACAAAATAACAGAGTTGTCTATCCCTTCCTGCTTTACATCCTGGTGTTCACTTCTCTTCCTTACTAATAAACCTCCTTTGTGGCAGTTTTTTCCTGAAAAGTGTACTATCTTCTGCATTAAAAACTTGTTCAGACAGGTATCCTTTCTCTTCAATGGCACCTGGGAACGTCTGCTGCCTCTTGGTTGGCAGAAGCTGCTTCTCATGTTATCTTAACATTTTTAAAGCCAAAGTGCTTCCGAAAATTATCAAACCACTTTTTGCCAGAATTTAATTCTCCAGCTTTGGATCCTTCACTTTCCTTTTGCTTCAAATTATTATATAATGAGTTAGCTTTTTCTCAAATCATAATATATATCTTTTTTTTAATTTTAGATGGAGTCTTGCTCTGTCACCCAGACTGGAGTGCAGTGGCATGATCTCAGCTCACTGCAACCTCCACCTCCTGAGTTCAAGAATTGCTCCTGTCTTAGCCTTCCAAGTATCTGGGACTACAAAGACACACCACCATGCCCAACTATTTTTTGTATTTTTAGTAGAGACAAGCTTCCACCATATTGGTCAGGCTGGTCTTGAACTCCTGTGATCTCAGGTGACCTCAGGTGGTCCACCCACCTCAGCCTCCTGAAGTGCTGGGATTACAGGCATGACTCACCACGCCTGGCCTATAAGTACGTCTTATAGTAACCTTGCACCCACATAAACGCTACATTTTCGTTATGAGATAAAAAGATATTTCACAAAAAGTGCAAGGTTTTCATGCCTGCTGGGATGGTTTCACAAATTTACGTTTCTTTTTTTACAATATTCCTTACTGGATGAATTTATCTTGAAATGGCAGGCAACCACAATGGCAAACCTTGATCTATGGTACATATCCAGCAATTCAACTTTTTCCAGTAATGTCATGACTTTTCTTTGCTTCTTGGGAGCACTTGATGCATCACTTCGTATGGGTCTCATGGTATTATGCAATATTTATAGTACTGCACTAAACACAATTAAAAATATGCAAGAACCGCGAGAGATCACTTTTTATTACAATACACAATTTACTGGAGAGACAAACTGCTCATGGAGATGATATGCATTTTAAGCAGTACTTGTAATACTTGAGCTCACTGACAGAGCAACAGGATGTGGCTACAAAATTATTACAGTAGTACATTAGGCACTACAGTAATTTTATGTAGTTATGATTTAATATTGCATCATTACTTTTGTTTACATTTCTCTGGAATGTGAATGGTACCACATATGGTCTGTAAGTGTGTGCATAAATTATAATCATTAATAATAGATCTGTATATATTTTATAGTAGTAAATAATAAAATAGGTTACTGTCTCCATATATTTTATGTATTCATGACATATGTTTTTCTTAATTTTTTGAATATTTCTTTTTTTTGGTAATATTTTATTTATTTTCTCATGTACTGGCCTACTGCACTTAAACATTTCCATCAGACTCAAAAAATAATTTGACTTCAGAAGAAAGAAAATATTTTACTTATTTAGTTTTTGTTTATATATACTGTTTTATTATTAAGACTTTTGTGTGTGTGTGTGTGTGTGTTTTGGGTTTTTTTGTTTTGTTTTGTTTTGTTTTTGAGACAGAGTCTTGCTCTGTCACCAGGCGCCAGGCTGGAGTGCAGTGGCACAATCTCGGCTCACTGCAACCTCTGCCTCCTTGGTTCAAGCAATTCTCCTACCTCAGCCTCCCAATTAACTGGGACTACAGGTGTGCGCCACCACGCCCAGCTAATTTTTGTATTTTTTAGTAGAGATGGGGTTTCGCCATTCCAGCCAGGATGGTTTCGATCTCTTGACCTCCTGATCCACTCGCCTCAGCCTCCCAACATGCTGGGATTACAGGCTTGAGCCACCGCGCCCGGCCTTTTTTTTGGGTGTTTTTTTAAGAGCTAGGATCTTGCTATGTTTTCCAGGCTGATCTCCAATTCCTGGCTTCAAGCAATCCTCCTGTCTCAGCCTCCTGAATAGCTAGGACTGTAGGTATACGCCACTGCTCCCAGCTTGAGTTTTTGTTTTTGTTTTTTACTATAATGGAATGTGTTTTTATTCACCCATTGGAAAAGCCTTTGCTACAAATTAATACAAACTTGTCACTAATAAATCCTTCTTTAAGTAAGAATATAGGATCACATGAGCATAACTTTGTATGAGTTTTCATGTCCTGGGGCCTTGTTGCTTCATATAAAAAGTGCAGGTCAGTAAAAATTAAAATGCAGTAATATGGTATAATGTGCTTAACCCAATAAGGGTACAATAAAGGATGACTATTATTTTTACATGAATTCAACTGAAATCCGGATAGGGCAACACCAATAACAATGTTTCCCATATAGCTTTAACACTGTTCTTTGTCATCCCCTCATCTACCCAATGAGAATTAAAGGTAGCCTTTTAGGCTGCTTGGCAGGACCACTGAATGCTATGAATCAACCATACTCTATCCTCCCAATTAACAGTGGGGAAAGCAGAGGTCCAGGGAGTTTAGAAAACTTGTCCACAAAGAAACAACTACTTTGTGACTGAACTATGTCTAGGACCAGGGCTCTTTTTATCAACATGAGCATGAGCATCTCTTTATACATGCCTTCACATTTACAAAGCACCTCCTCAGCTCCATGATTTTATTATGCTACAGCACTCAGCTCATGAAAATGGCTTTTTTTGCTCCTTTCCTGTCTTTGGAAGATTTTTTGCATTCTTGTAGCAGCTGATTCCGTACTAACCCTTAAATTGAAAAAATATGTATACAAACGTGTGTGTGTGCACATGCACATGCAAATGATTATGTAGAAGAAACAGCACTAGGTCTCCCTGGACAACCCAGTGCAGGCCACACCCTGGCAGTCACAAAGCACAAATAAGAAATGGTCTTCCCATGTGAGTTGCTTTCGACACTTCAATACTAAAGAGCTCAGAAGTGCTCACACTTTGAAAGAAGCCCAGGAACATTTGTAGGCTTCCCTTTAACGTGTCTCATTTTGAGACAGAACAGTGAGCAGGTTGACGAGCTGCTCATCATGTACTTCTTGTAGTAAATCCTTCAAAGAATGAAGAGTGAAAACAATTCATTTCTCCTGGAATTTTTTCTTCTTATCATTTTGCTTTTTTAAAGGTTGTTATATTTAGGTATAGGCATAAGATATTATAAAATATAAGGGATATCATGTGAGGGAGGAAATCAGTGAATCCAAAAAAATCTCCCATAGAAATTAAAAATCAGAACGTGGCGGCAAGGTAGGAGGCAACATACTCTTTCCACAGAGCTATTACACATAGCCGAACTGTCCTCAAAAGCAGGAATGGAAAAAAAAAAAAAAAAACAGACCTCAGCTGCATAATGAAGCTGGGGTCTTTGTATGACAGCTTTTAATGTCCTTAAAACTGGGCTGGGCAACATGAGTCTTTCCTGGAATAGGCCAAGGAAGACAAGTCCAGTTTGATTTTTAAGGCTTTAGTGAGCTGTACAGCCAGCAGCTCATGGAGGGACGTGCCATCACCATAGTGGGAGTACACCCAGTTTTTCCCAGTCCAGTCATAACACTTGGGTCCACAGGATGGAAAAGATAACCAGATTTGCTTGTTTAGTGTCTGCTTATTGATCACGTAGGTTCCTGGATCTCTACCCAGTTTAGCAGTTAAGATGCCACTCCCAAAGAAAACATCATAGTCCTTAAAAAACATGTATGGCTTGTCCGCAAGGTCTTCAGAAAACTCTGTTAAGGAGTCTAGCATTTCCTCTGCTAGTCTTTCATGGCTGGTCTCATCTAGAGAGCCTGAGTGGCCCAAAGTTCCCGATTTCCTCAAACTCCTCAAATAAACACTCTGCTTTTGACATTCCAAATCTGGTTGAGGCCACGGAGGTTCAAACTGGTGAGGTGGGGTGCACAGGCCACGGCGATTCCGGTGCACAGGCCCCGGTGGCCACCGAGTGGGGCCAACTCTGCTGGCCGTGGGGCCCGGATGAGCAATGTTTTCAACATTTCTAGGCTATGCAGCTCATTTGTTTTTCAAATTATTGCAAATCTCTAAAATTTTTCCAATATATTTATTTTTTAAAAATTGTGTCTAAGTGGACCTGCCCAGTTGGCCCATGCAATGGCACAATCAGAGCTCACTGCAGTCTCAAACTCCTGGGCTCAAGCAATTCTTCCACCTTAGCCTCCTGAAGGGAGACTACAGGCACATACCATTACACCCGGCTAATTTAAAAAATTTCTTTATAGAAACGAGTTCTCACTATGTTGCCCAGGCTGGTCTCAAATTCCTAGCCTGAGGTGACCTTCCTGTCTTGGCATCCCAAAGTGCTGAGATTATAGGTGTGAGCCACTGCGCCTGGCCCATTGCATAGTTCTTTTACATTTTAAAATTATCATGATAAAATAGAAAAAAAAATACTTTGAAATCAAAAGCTGCAAAATATTTTTTAAATGTTCAGTCATATTTGAAAAAAATGTTACTTACAGAAGTGAAAAATATAATGGCTAAAATATTTAAAACCTCAAAGAAGTATTGTATAGGTACATGCATACACAAAAAAGCAACAGCTAGCAAAGTGGATTATCAAGTCAAGCAAAAGACTTGAACACATTCTTTACAAAAAAAAAAAAGGAGAACACATGTGAGAAGTTGCTCAACCTCAACAGTAATCCTGGAAATAAAAATTAAAACCACAATTACCTACCACTTTACACTCACCAGAGTCACAAAAACTATAAAGTATGACTGCAGCAAGTGTTGGAAAGGAGAGATTACAGAAATAACAACACTTACATCCTGCTAGGATGAGTATATACTGATTCACCGCTTTGGAAAACAGTCTGGCATTATCTAGTAAAGTTAAATATGCTTATATCCGCTGATCTTGCAATTCTACTATTAGGTATATTATTCAGAGAAAATCTTATATATGTGTACCAGGAAACTTATACAAGAATTTCACAGTGGTATCACTTTTATTTTGAGTCAGGGTATCACTCTTGTTGCCCAGGCTGGAATGCAATGGCACGATCTCGGCTTACCTCAGCCTGTGCCTCCCAGGTTCAAGCAATTCTCCTGCCTCAGCCTCCCAAGTAGCTGGGACTACAGGCATGTGCGGCCACACCCAGCTAATTTTGTATTTTTAGTAGAGACACAGTTTCACCATGTTGGTCAGGCTGGTCTCGAACTCCCAACCTCAGGTGATCTGCCCACTTTGGCCTCTCAAAGTGCTGGGATTACAGGCATAAGCCACCCTGCCTGGCCCCATTTTTTTTCTTTTTTTCTGAGACTGAGTCTTGCTCTGTCACCCAGGCTGGAGTGCAGTGGCACAATCTCGGCTAACTGCAACCTCTGCCTCCTGGGCTCAAGCAATTCTCCTGCCTCAGGCTTCTGAGTAGCTGGGATTACAGATGCGTGCCACCACTCCTGGCTAATTTTTGTATTTTTATTAGAGACCGGATTTCATCATGTTGGCCAGGCTGGTCTTGAACTCCTGTCCTTGTGATCTGCCTGCCTCAGCCTCGCAAAGTGCTGGGATTACAGGTGTGAGCCACCGCACATGGCCAGCATCATTTATATAATAATAAAACCTTGAAAACAACCCAAATGTCCATTATCAGCATAATGAAGAAGTAATTTGCAATATATAGTCAAATAATACTTAGTGTTGTATGGTCAAACAAAATGAATGAATGAAAGTTATAGACATTAACATGACTCCGTCTCAAAATAAACCAACCAATCAATCAATCAATAAAATTCAGTAAGTGAGTTTCATTCAAGAGGAAGATAGGATCAGAGAGGTATCGAAAATGTTCTACTTTTTTTTTTTTGAGATGGAATTTTGCTCTGGTCACCCAGGCTGGAGTGCAATGGCGTGATCTTGGCTCACTCAACCTCTGCCTCCTGGGTTCAAGCAATTCTCCTGCCTCAGCCTCCAGAATAGCTGGGATTACAGGTACCTGCCACCATACCTGGCTAATTTTATTTTTAGTAGAGAAGGGGTTTTAGTATGTTGGCAGGCTGGTCTCGAACTCATGACCTCAAGCCATCCACCAGCCTTGGCCTCCCAAAGTGCTGGGATTATAGGCAGAAGCCACCACACCCGGCCAGAAAATGTTCTACTTTTTTTTTTTTGAGGCAGAGTTTCACTCATGTTACCCAGGCTGGAGTGCAATGGCGTGATCTTGGCTCACTGCAACCTCCGCCTCCTGGGTTCAGGCAATTCTCCTGCCTCAGCCT